TGAAGATTAGGCCTGGTCCCATTGAGGAAGGGCACTACCAAAACTTACACTCTCAGTCTTTCTTCCATTCTTCCTGCAAGGGACCAAAGGCCTTTTTCCAGGGTAACAGTGCCTTGGAGAAAGGGAAATAGTCACACATATCAGGGACTACTGGACACTGGTTCTAAACTAACCCTGACTCCAGAACATCATTATGGCCTTCCAGTAAGAGTAGAGGGCTATGGAGGTCAGGTGACCAATGAAGTTTAGTTAAGGTTTGATTCACAGTGGGTTTAGTAGGTCTCTGAATCCATCCTGTAGTCATTTCCCCAGTTCAAGAATGCATAATTGAGATAGACATACTTAGTGCTTGGGAGAATCCTCACATTGATTCACTAACTTGTATTGTCAGAGCTATTATGATGGGAAGGGCCAAGTGGAAGTCATTAGAGTTGCCTCTATATGAGAAAATAGTAAATCGAAAACAATATCACATCCTTAGAGGGATTACAGTGATTAGAGCCACCATCAAGGATTTGAAAGATGCAGGGGTGGTGGTTCTCACCACATCCCCATTTATCTCTCCTGTTTAGGCTATACAGAAAAAGATAGATGGAGCTTGGAGAATGATGGTGGATTATTCTAAATTTAATCAAGTGGTACCTCCAAGTAAATTTGCTGTATGAGATGTGGTTTCCTTGCTTGAGCACATTAACACATTTCCTGGCATCTGGTATGCAGTTATTGATTTGGCACATGCCTTTTTCTCCATTTACTTATCAATAAGGCCTACCGGAAACAATTTACTTTCAGCTGGCAAAGTCAGCAATACACCTTTGCTATTCTACCTCAGAGGTATGTTAACTTTCCAGCCCTGTCTCACAACTTAGTTCTCAGTAAACTTGACTGCCTTTCTCTTCCACAAGGTATCATGCTGATCCATTACATTGATGGCATTATGCTTATTGGACCAAGTGAGGAGGATACAGCGGCCACTCTGAACTTGTTGGTAAAGCATCTATAAGCCAGAGGTTGGGAAATAAATCTAACCAAAATTTAAGATCCCTCTATCTCAATGAGATGTCTAGGTGTCCAGTGGTGTGTGGCTTGTAGAGTAACTCTTATAAAGTGAAGGATAACTTGTTATATCTGTTTCCTCCTACAACCTAAAATGGTGCCCAGTGGGCCTATTTGGATTTTGGAGGCTACATATTTCTCACCTAAGTGCAATACTCTAGCCCATTTACCAAGTGATTCACAAAGCTGCTAGTTTTGAGTGGGGTCAAGAACAAGAGAAGAGAAGGCCCTGTGATAGATCCAGGCTGCTGTGAAGGCTTCTCTGCCATTGGGGCCATATGATCCAGGAGATCCAGTGATACTTGAGGTGTCATTGAAATAAGCAGGTAGTTTGGAGCCTCTGGCAGGCTCCCATAAGTGAGTCAAAGTGGGGGATTTTGGAGCAAGGCTTTGCTATCACATACAGATAACGACTCTCCCTTTGAAAAGCACCTTCTGGCCTGCTATTGGGCCTTAATGAAAACTGAACACTTGATCATGGTAACCTAAACTGCTCATCATGAACTGAGTGCTGTTCTCTGACCCACCAAGTCATAAAATTGAACATGCACAGCAATAGTCCACCATTAAATGGAAGTGGTATATACATGATTGAACTTGTGCAGGTCTAGAAGGCTCAACTAAGTTACACAAAGAAGTTTCCCACATGCCCATGGTTCTTATTTCTACTATATTGTTTTCTGTCCCGCATCATTCACATATGGCCTCATAAGTATACTATATGATGAGTTGACAGAAGAAGGGATTAGGGGCTGGTTTATAGATGGTTCTGTGCGTTATGTAGGCACCACCTGAGAGTGGACAGCTGTAGCACTACAGCTCCTTTCCAGAACATTCCTGAAGGACAATGGTCAAGGGAAGTTTTCACTGTACATTTGTACATTTTGCTTGGAACAAAAAATGGCCAGTTGTGGTACTATGTACCAAGTTACAGGCTGCAGCCGGTAGTCTAACCAGGTGGTCTGGGACTTGGAAGGAACATGATTGGAAAATTGGTGAAAAAGGTATTTGGTAAAAAGGTATGTGGATAAACCTCTCCATATGGGTAAAGGGTGTAAAAATATTTTTATCCCATATAAATGCTCACCAAAAGGTGACCTCAGCAAAAGAGGACTTTACTAATCAAGTAGGTAGGATGACCCATTTTGTGGATAGCAGTTAACCTTTTTCCTAAGCCACCCTGCCATTGCCAAATAGACTCATGAAAACAGTGGCCATCATGGCATGGATGGAGGGTACACATGGGCTCAGAGACATAGATTTTCACTGACCAAGGGTTATCAGGCTATAGTTGCTGTTGAATGGCCAGTCTGCCAGCAGCAGAGACCAACACAGTCTTGACCTTCAACCGGATTCAGTATGCAGATGGCCATTTTGTATTCTTACTCTCCTGATTCTGCAGGCAGCCATTGTAAGCCTCCCTGGTAAGTTGTTTACATAATTATATATATTATATTATATTATATTGTATTATATTATATTACATCTGTTCCTCTGGTGAACACTAATGATGCAAAGATGTTGTCTTAGTTACTTTTCTCTTTGATGAGACAAAATACCTGTCACCCAAAGTTAAAGGAGGAAAGGTTTATTTAGTTCACAGTTTGTAGAGGTTTCAGTCCATAATCATCTGGGTCTGAGGCAGGGTGGTGTGGCAGACATTTACTGCAGAGGAGATACAGCTCGTGGTGGGCAGAAGGTAGCAAAGCAAGCAAGGGTGGACCACAGCTCTTTCTATCCCTTATATTTTATCCAGACTATTTAGGGTGGATATCACTCACACCCTTAATCCTAGTGCCCTTGATCCTAGCAATGCACCATGAATCAATTCCATTGTCACACACTAAAATCCAGTTACCTCTGAAAAAACCCATGTGTGAACTACATGAGGCTTTGGGGGGACATCTAGGAACAAACCATAACAAATGTCATTAATTTTTATTTGTGATCCTAGAATTTGGTGATCCATGACTCTATAAAGTTGAGTGAGTATTCTGATGGATATGACAGAAGAGTTGGTCTTTGAAAGGTAGCAACAAGGAAACAAAATGATTTAAAAAGTAGATTTGCTAACATAAGATTACTACAGGTTACTTTACTTGCAATGATTAAAGCTAAGCGATTTCCTTACTACACGGATTCATAGAATGGCCTCTTTCTGGCTGGTTGCTATGAACCTCCTGGGTTTTTTCTTCCAGTACTGGGAATCAAACTCAGGACCTTGCACTTGCCAGGCAGGTGTGGCACCACTGAGCTACATCCCTGGCCCTTGAACCTCCTGTTTTCAGGAAAAACTGATCTGTTGAGGACTTACCTGCTTCCTTAAAACTTCAGTGTGATTATGTGACACTTAGAACAAGTGACTCCATTTTCTTTTGATTGGCAGGGGCTTCATGGAAGAATTCAGTCCAGAATGGTGGCCTCCTATAATTTTATTTAACAGAAATTTATTCATATAAAATAAAATTTAAGCTCAGTGGGTCATTTATTATAATCAATGACCTACTTGTACTTTAAAGGACAATTTCTTGTATAGAGGCATAACAATGATGTTAGGCTCTAGCTTTAATTTAGCCAATTTTATGAAAAAGAAAAGGAACGTTCTAAATAAACATGGCTCAGAATTTTGTTGCATAATAACACTGTCAGGAATTTTGTTTAGTATATTTAGAACATACTGGTCTCCTAGTCCTATGGATGCAGGCTTGGCTTATAATGCATTGTCTACTTCCACTCAGTCAGTGCCTTTGGAAACAGAGCACCATAGGGTAAAAGCCTAATCAACCAGATACCTCCTCAGAGCTGCAGACAGAGAGCTTCCCCAAAGCTTGAAGCTTCATTAATAATGATGGGTGAGAAACTTCTGAGATTGTGGTTTTTACTCCAAAGCAGCTCTGCAGATCATCAAGGTCTATGATGCCCTCAGCTCTGGGCACTTTGCTCTGGGAAATGAGTCCTACCTCTCCCTGCCTTCCTTCACATATGCTGTGTGACTGGGGGCACCAGCACTTCTGATACTGGTCAACAGTGTGTTCTCCCATTGCAGTTCTGTTTTTGCTACGGATCAGGTCAGATATCTCCCTCTCCGCCGGAGGTGTGCACACTCACACACGGACATGTGACTTGCAGAGCTTCCCAGTGTGGAACAAGTGTCCCTTTCTTCTCTTCCTTGGGGCTTAGCTTGATGACGCGCTTTGGCCAGTGGGATACTAGTAGCATGGCATGAGTGAGGCTGGCGGCATGGTTGAGCTGCTCTCTTTTGTCGTAATCATGAGAGGAGTTTGTCCCCAGTCTACACTGATCTAGAGGTGGGGTCTGAACCCTAGTTAAGTCTCCAGCAGAGCCACTCTCATAGAACTGCAAGCCTGTATGTGAGAAAAAAAAGAAATGTTGAAAGTAGTGTCCGCAGGTTGTTAAACAGCCAAAACTGACTAATGTAAGTTTCGAGATGGAATACTCAGAGCTTTGTAATTTCAAATAGTCAGTCATCTGATAAGTTTTATAAATTTCTTCAACAAATAACTATTACATAGTTATTTTACAATATTGAAATATATTGACAATATCTTGTGTACCTAATAAATGTCCAGTTTCCTCTGTTAATATAGCTTTTAATAAAACATGGATTTGAATGTTCCCTTAGATGTTTGTAAGTTGTTTCTATTGTTTTTTATCATACAATTTTCAAAAAGAAAAACGTAATTCCAATACAGATAAGAATCAGTATATGTCAACAATTTAGCCAACTCATTAATGAAGAAACAAGATAATAAAACTGGTTCCAAGAGCATATGTTTCTAGACATTAGAAAAAAGAATGTTAAAATAGGACTGCTAAGCCTATTTAACAAAACTGGTTAATCTAATAAATAATTAACTTTGAGATTCTCTTCTCTGTTTGACAGTTGAAATAAATGAAAACAAACCAAATGAGAAGGAGAAAGCTTCTTGTTCAGAGCTTCTGTGGTTATGGAGTCAGCCACTATTACTTGCGTATTGGAGCAGACTCAGCAGGCGGAGGACTAGGAAGATTTTATAGCAGCAGGAAGAGCACTCTTGTAGTGTTCCCTAACTGGAGGCTGTTGGCATGAAGAGGCTGTGGGTAAGCTAACTTAGATGAGGCATTCTATGCTATGGTGTGTATTTAGTTTTCTTGTGTTGGTTCTAAATTAGGAGCAGGAACAAGAATTAGGAAAGTGGTCAGTTATTGTTGTAGTTCTTGCCACATGGGACCAATTGTTCTTGAAGCTATTGTGTGACTTCCTGAATTGTTAGCAGAGATAACAATCTGATTCCCTAGAAGTGAGTCTAGTTATAACTCAGAGGTAGGTTGGCTTCCAGGGCTCCTTACTGGAGATAATGGGTTGGTTTTACAATCTAATTCCTTATGATTGTGGGTCAGAATTTTATTTTTAGATATAGCCTGCCAAATATTCATTTGTACACTAAATCTCTTGGTACAGAACTTTATAAATTAACATAAAACTTCACAGGGCTTGAGCTCTATAAGTAGTAAATAAGTAGTAAGGGAAACACAAGTACACACTCCTGGAAAGTGAAACCAAAAAGATGGGGTTAGAAAGACCTGTTGGCCACAGATTGAAAAGCATTCTCCAATCTACTGTAGCAAATGTGAAACTTGTATTTTTAAATCTTTGTCTGATATACTCCTTCAGTCGATGTCTCAATTGGTTCTCAATTCAAGAATCGAAGAGACAGATGTTGTCTACTTTTCTGCTCACATCTTAACACTAATTGCTTCCTACAAGATATCATTCAATAAACCAGAAAAGACCTACATCACCGATTTTCTTGAAAAATGATACAAGAGAAACTAGACACACAAGCCTCTTTTTACTTGAAATGCTTTTATTTCCTTCTACGAGAGTAGTACTGGGACAATTGATCTTAGTTTTACAGCTTTTTGGACCAATTTTTTTAAAATTCTCAAATTCGTCATTGGGAGGTAGCTTCCACAAACTAGTTCAGATGTATTTGTTAATTAGGCAAACTATTTTCCAAAAACATAAAGTAGAAGCATTCCCCACCCCGTTTTGGGGTGTCTCTGGCATTATATGACTTTTTAAAAAAAATGTACATATGGAGTTGTTGGTTTTGGAAGGCATCTAATTATGTGCCAGTATTTCCTAAGGCAGTGGGGTTTTACTTGACAAGAAAAAGTCTTTAAAATATAATGTTAACTTAAATATAAATTTAATTAATTGGTTTTGACCACGAGAAAAGATAAAATCTATAATTATATCTCAAATTTTATTTTAACTGAGCCTTTTAGAATACCATTATTTTGTACCTTCCACTTTCTGTAGTGTCATTTGTGGCCAAATTATCAACTAATAAATTGCCCACTAGGTGTCAGTGCATTCCCATACTAAAGGTACAGGTGGTATATCCATCTGGTGACAAAAAACAAAACCAGAAATTAAAACAAATATCCTGTCTTAGGGGTCCTATACAGTGCCTGCCTTTTTCCCAATGTCATGACATATACCACAACCAGATCTCTATGCTTTTTCATGTAGGATAGGCTCAGATGGCTTTTGTGATTGTTGACTGGCATCTACAAACTCTGTTTTCAGTAATCTCTTGCTTTTCTCTCCTTAAACATGGCAGGCTCCAGTTGAATTTAAACAGGGTAATCGATCCTTTGTTTTATTGTATTACATTAATGACACAAAATATAGCAGAATGCCAAGGCCAGATGACACATAAATAAATGTGTCTCTCCATCCTGTGGTTCATTTTAGTGACACTCAGAGTGAGGTGTAGCACACCCAATGACCACACCCACACTGCCTAGCATTACTTTAGCTAAAGCCACTGGAACTCAGTGATGCCCTCCCAACAAAGGCTCAGAGCATGTTTAGAACATACAGAATGTGTAGAATAGTAGAATCATATGCTCTTGACTTCATATGAGCAAGCACTTTAATACTTCATCTTGGGACAGTATCAGAGGTATTCATGTTGTTGACAGCTATGATTTCAGAAGCTTTTTGCATAGGAAGAATTCATACTGGCAGTGTCTACATTATACCTAGTTGAGTTAAAGATACTTTAGTCTGAGTTCTGAAGAACACTGGTCTTATAGTATATGAGTAGATAATACTAAAAGGATTCCATAGAATACTTTGGGAAAATGAAAATCAAGCATGTTTCTCTAGAGTGAGCACCTTTATTATTCTTGTCTGCAAATATCCAATCCTATGGTATGTGCGGTTTAAAAATTTTTTTTTTACCTTAGAATAATTATTTCAGAGTATCTTGGCAAACAAATTGATTTTGAAAATGTGAAGGTTTTTGGATTACATTTAGATACTTCATCTCATATTTCCCTTCTACTCTATTTCCTTCTACATAATATATTGAGCACATATTATGTGTCAGGCATTAAAGGGGAACATGTAATAATTTAAGTGCCATCCGAAGAACAAGGAGATTAATTTTTTCCAGGAATATGTTGAAATCTTTTTATGTGAGTATATTTTATATTTACTAAATTTCAATGTCTGTAGCCTTCTGAAATAGGCAACCAGGAATTACTATTACACCTATGTTACATCAGAGAATGAAATATTTCCCTATGTGGTCAAAAGAATGCTTTCAACTGAGCTTGAAATCTTTAAGTGAGGGATTGACATGAAAGATGTTTAACCAATAAGAATTTAATGGGAGAAGTTAGAGCTTTTGGCAGGTTAGAAGCAAGAGGAGGGAATAGAATTAAGAGATCCTAAAAGCCTGCTTTTAAAAAAAACTACATAAGGTGGGACATTAGAAGCAAGAATCAGGGTAAAATGCACACAAAGAAAAACAAAGCCATGAAACAGGAACACACAGAGCTCAATTTCCAGAAGGCACAACATTAATGTTGAAAAAATAATTCTTGTCTGATGCTTGTCTTGACTGAGCAGCAAGAAGAGGCTTCATAAAATGCTCCCTGAGATCTGCATGAGGCAAATCTCAGGCTGCCAAACATGGATGAAGCTGTGCTGAAGGCTGAACGTCATCTCCCAAGGGAGAGGATCACAGGATGGAAGCCATTTGCTATCAGATCTAGCAATTTGCTCTAGTAGTGTCCAGGGAATTGAGAACATCTTCCTTCCCATACACGCTTACTCATCTCTTGTGCCAGATTTCTAGTGTTTTCTCATGGAGCCACAGAGAAGGTTGGAGGAGGAGACTAAAGTCACAATATTTCCCACATTATAGTAGTTTTCAGTAGGGGATGCCTGGAATAATGCTGCTATGATCATTCTTACACATGAATTTTGGAGAATTATGGATGGGGTCACTCTTTTTTAAATGTATGAATCTACTGGTACAGAACTGACAGGATCTGAATAACAACAACCCATCCTTTGGCATACTTTAACCTGAAGAAAACTGAGAAGGTTACAGAAGCATGAAGGTCATTTTCTGGTCTTCTCCCCTGAAACAGGTCAGAAAGGAATACTATTTATTTCCCTTGAATGTAGGTCATAGATGCTCATCTCAGAGGAGTACTTCTATATAGCTGGGGGCCAAAATAAGTCTGAATAAATGGGTTTGCCAACTTCCTCCTTTTCCTCATTTATTACCATTAGGTCAAACCCTTTTCTCCCTCCAATTATACGTCGGCATGTCCGCTTAATAAAAATACAGTTTTTCCTAGGTCTTTGGATCTTCATTTCTGAAAGGTCTGTGTCACATAAAACTTTTGTTAACAAATTTACTGTCCTTTTCTCTTGTTTTTCTATCTTTTGTTTTAGGGTTCTCAGGCATGAACTTTGTGAAGAGTGAGGAAATGATATTATCTATTTTAGTCACTTTCTTATCACTGGGACACAATATTTGACATCCACAATTTAAAGGAGAAAAGGTTTATTTAGGCTCATGGTTTTTAGAGGTTTTACCTGATGGTCAGCTGTCCCCAAGGTAGAAATGGCATGGTGGAAGAATCTGGCCAAGAAAGCTTCTCACATTACGGTGGTGGAGATGCAGAGACTGAATGGAGGAGCTGGGGAGGAATGAGAATGTGGGGAGTATTCTAGATCTAACCATAATGTTACCTTTTCTTTTCCACAAGTACAACTTGAAATTTAGAAGTAAGATTTTGAACTTGTCTCTGTTTCTCCCAGAATGCTCCTTGATTCCTATGCTAGTCAGCTTTCCTTTCATTGGAACAAACTACCTGATACCCACAATTTAAAGGAGGACAGGTTTATTTTTGGCTCATGATTTTATAGTTTCAGTCCATGGTTGCCCGGTTCCAATGCAGAGAGATCATGGGAGAGAACCATAGAGGAGTAAAGCTGCTCACTGCTTAGCAGGGAGCAAAGCTAGGGTACAGTGCTAGAGAGGAAGGGGCAAGCGCACTAAATACAGGTTCCAAGATCATGCCTCCATAACTTACCTTAACACATCCAGAAGTGTGCTTTAATACTCCTTTAGATGACTCCTAAGCTACTCAAGTTGACAACTAAGCTTAACGGTCACAAGTCCCCTGTCAATTAATGAATTCAAATAAACACATGTTAAGTATGCCCACCTAATTTCATCTGTCATCAGTTCTAACCTTCAGACCTTTGCAGTGTTAAAACATTTGCCAATAGAACAAGGGCACCTGATTTTCATTTGTATAATTAAATGGAAGAAAGAATATCTTTTCCAGTGTGACCCAATATTGAATGATAAAAATCAAGTTGCAAAAGGTTATATACAGTATTACCACTTATGTAAAATTTAATTGCCCAGGAAAACATTGACATATTTTATAGACAAATGGTAAAAATAGACCTAAGAATCAAAAATATTAGAGTCAGGATCATGGACACCCTTCAATAGGAGTGGTGTGATCTTGTCTGGGGAAGCAGGGGAGGTGGGGGGATGAAGTGAACCTTGATAGTAATTATGGCTTTTTTCTCCCAGAGAGATCCAAAGCTAATACAACAAAATGTCAATTTGTCTAAAATACTGGATGTCCATTGCTTGTTATATTTTCTAAATGTTCATTTATGTTTGAAAGATTTCATAATTTCAAATTAAATTTAAAGAAGTTTTTAAAATGTTAAATTGAAAATGCAACTCAAATGCTAAGTTGAAAAT